ATAAGTTTGGAATTAAAATTAATTTTTCGTATAATTTTTATGAAAATATTAGAAGTTAAATTTTCTGCTGTTTCTATTTAGTCAATTATAATTAATAAATTTATGTACATATAAAATTACATATAAGATATATTTTCTTCTACAATTAATAAATTTATGTACATATAATATTACATATAAGGTATATTTTATTCTGTAATCAAAAGATTTTTTTGTAGAAAAATATTTCATAAAAATACTTGATAAAAGTAATTGATACTGAACGATATTGCAGACTTATAAGAAATAACATTAAGAGTAAAAGCTGGAATCTCTTTTTTTCTTATTTTACTGCATAACTGTTTTTTTTCTTTACCGCACAACTGCTTATTTTACGGCGGCTTGGTTATCATGATTGATAGTCATAAAGTCTTAGCGAAGAAAACGAAACCAAAGGATCTAGAATGTTAATGCCAAGGTTGTTTGGTCCATTGTCAATCCGAGAAATGCCATTGCCAAGGGAGTCTAGTCATTATTCTAGTGATCTTATCAGAACAGTTATAAGGAAGCTACAATTGATTGGTTATTGGTATAGTATCTGATGTATGAAATGATATAACAATTATAAATGATTACTAAAAAAGTGATGCATGCAACAAAAATAATCGAGAGTGAAAAATATAACAATTCGTAATATTAATTGATATAATATTAAAACAAAATTATATTATTAATGAATAATTCAATAGATACGGTATTTGAATATGTAGATTTAAAAGAAATTAATTATATAATATGATTATAATTACTATATATGTATATATACATATATATATATATATATTTTTTTTTTAAAGAGCATCGTCTTATAATTATAAAAAATATATGGTATTAACTAAAAAATATATTTTCCAAATAAATTATAATGGATAATCAGCAATTAGAATAAGTAATATTAACATTTGTACTATATTACAGGCGGTTACATACAAATTGTCTTATGTTTCAACGAATAATTCATTAGATGTTAAGCATATTATTCATTTATTATTCATTTATTGCTCATATGATTCAGCTTATATAAAGCACAGATATTTGCAAAATTACCTGGAAAATTCTTATTGTTCACAAATCATTTATTAATGTCAGATCATAGATTATTTATTTATCAACTTGAATACATAAAAGATCGTGTACACTATATAATATTAGTGATTATAATATAAAAGGAATATACAATAATCAAAGTAATCAAGAATTTAAAAAATTTAATACAATAAATCTTGGTGCTGTTAAGGAAACTAAAATTAACATTTTAATCGTTGTAAGATTATTATCAATATCCACATATTGTGTTAAACAATAAAATATGCAAATTATTACAGCAATCAAGTTTTTCTGCATGAAATTGTTTTATTTATAATAAAAAGGATTAAATAAATTTTTTTGTAGTTAAAATTTGCTATCACACAGTTTAAAATAATATTAATTGATCGCTTAAATATATGTAAGACACCTCTCTCTCTCTGTATTACAATTAGGACCTATATAAAATCAGAAACAACTGAAATTAATAAGTTTACTAACATCAAATTCTTAATAAGTAAATTTTTAATAGCAAATTATTAAATGTTATATATTATTTAATTGTAAAATGTTATAAACATATATCATTTAATTTTAGTACAAATTTGGATTAGTAAATTAATCATTTAAAAATCACTTAATGATCCTATAGGCTTATCACAATTTATTTAAAAAATTAAATTTTTCTTGACTTTATATAATAAAAATGATATAATTTATTATTTTTTGCTTTCAAATTATTATATCTCGATGAAAATTTGCGTGTAATTTTAATAAAACAAAAAATTAAAACGCCACATTATTCGAAGTAATTAAATTTTATATTGATTTATTAATTCAAAAGAAAAATTCTTAATTTATTAAGGTTAATTAAATTTATTTTTTTAAAAAATTGAAAAATTTGTCAGACATAAAGTAACAATACTAAATTAAATTACACAAATAGTTTCCTAATCAAAATAAAATAATTTGTCTTTTTAATAAATTAAATTTTATTTGCATTAATAATCTACTTTTATCCATATTAATTTAAAATACAAGATACAGAACAATCAATAAATAATTTTTAGTAAATAATCTGATGAAATATATATAATGTATTAAATATATATAATGTATTAAATATTTCGGAGCAGCAGTAATTTAATTCTTAATATCTGATACATAATATCTGATTTTTACAGCACACATATAATGTATTATTATTTAGTTAAATGTATTTCTTTACATTAAATTTTTTTTAATGATCTAAATACAATACAATTTTTTGATCGGTTTGAGATCGCGAAATAAGGTAAAAATTGTAAGATTGACTAAAACAAAATAAAAAGATTAAAATACCAAAAAAACCGCTAAGTTAACAATTAATTTAAAATTCCAAAAACAAAATATCAAAATATGAATTTATTTTGTGTTGCATTAAATATATTGTGGCAGTAAATATAATTACTTTTCATAGTGTGGCAGTGAATATAATTACTTTAACATATATTTTCTTACGATATATAAACGTGTATTTTTTTAGGACATTCTAATTACTATATAAATGATATAAATGGCTTTTTAATTAAAATTAAAATTTTATACTAGTTTTATAATAATTATTTTATTAAATTAATACTTTTGCACAGATTTTTTTCGATTATAAAGTATATATGTAACAATTTCTTTTATTAATAATTATATATATTATTTTTTATTCTTGCCGTAATTTTTTCTGTGTATGATCATTATTTTCACAGAAATAAAAATAATTATTTCATAGTTTTTACAACATTATTTTTTATTATTTTTATTTTAATTAAAATAATATTGTTCTACAAAATAATTTTCTTATAATAGACGCGTGGACTTGCATTTTTCATCTTTTTATATCTAACTCGATTTTCGCAAATTATTTAAAACAATTATATTTCACATATTAATTAAGTTAAAGAAAAAATGAAGAAAAAATCTTAAGCACGCGAATAAAAATTAATTAAAATTTATGCACACGGATGCGTGCAGATGCATGTCACATGTTGCATAAGGAAAACAAACGATTAATAACGGTATTTATTCGCGAGATTTTTTAATCATTAATTCATTGTTCTATAGATCGTAAATCTTTCAATACGGGGAACTATATTATTTCCATGTATGCTTACATACTTATTATAAGATTTTAAATAATTCTCAAGTATCATTAATAATTATTGTAAGGAACAAAAAAATTCTTGCTGTAAAAATATTAGAAAAGGTCAAGAAAATAACAAGTTGCAGCGAAAAAAAATGAGAAATTATTAAGTACTTTTTTACGTAGATACATAGGATTTAGAAATTAATAAGGAAAATTCATTCTTCATTAACGATAGTCTATAATTGACAACAATGGTATGCGTTATTAAGTTGTTTAGTTAAGAATGACAAATAATATATTATTATAAATATAGCATTATTATAAAATTACAAGAGGAAATAATATTGCGTAAAATTATGTAGAGTAATTTTATAATTGAAAAAATTCTAAAAGAACTTGTATACATAGGGAAGTTAAAAACTCTAAAGACAATCATGTTCTTTTTATAATAAAATTATACTTTTATTATAACAATTAGGTTCTAAAACTTTCACGCTTTTCAGATAATAGTTAATATTTATTACTTAATATCTCTTGCTAAGAATAATAATTTTCTCATTATATTCTTTTTAATATTTGCTTTCTTAAAGTTTCGTTAATAGAAGAGAGAGAGATAAAGGGATAATATAACATCAGTAAAAAAAACCAATTAAATCAACATCTCGAAAAATGTTGTATTTTTAAGCTATTTTATACATAATATACATGTTTCGCGCGAGAGTTCTTTTGTCAAACAAATCTGTGTGAGAATGTAAAAATGTAATGAAGCGATAATAGATTATATAAATAAAGCCAGTTTAATGGTAACATAACGTACACAGCATAAATCGCGTTATTCTCTATAAAATCTGTTTATTTTTCCTCGCCTTTCATTTCTATCTCGTTTCCGTTTTTATTTGCTTGGATATTATACAATATATGACTTAAAAACAATATCGATATATATTGTCTCATAAATTATATTTTAAATTAAACTTTCATTTGAATTTAAAACATTAATTTTACACTCATTTTGTCATTGTGTATCCCTCTTGCATGTTCTTTTCTTTCTCTTCCTTATTACATCTGCTTTTACTAAAAACCACAAGTTTTGATAGTTTCAATGTTCCTTGTATTCTTAAAAAGTGACAGATATCACATCATAAAAATTTTAATGTGTCTAAATATTAGCTCAATAAAAATATCGAATATTGTTTTCGTTACATTGAAAAAAAGTAGAACGTTTCGTCATGAATATACAAACATTATGCATCTCTATTATGTATTAACAATTCATAAAAAGTTTCTCGCAGTTTCGCTGTTTTTTAACAATTAATAGGAATTAATTTTATTGTATACAACGGATAGACTAGACCACATTGAGACACTTTCTTGCAAAAGTTCTTTCGAAAATCACTTCCACCATTGTTTGATAATTATAAGCGTTTTAACATTTTTTCTGATTGTAACATCTCTTTAATTATTTTGTGTTTTAGTAATCACACCGCAGTTCCCGTTTGGCGATTACTTCATCGAAATTTAATAGCAAAGTAGAAAACTACAAAATATTCTTTTTATTCATATACAAATTTCGAAACTTGTCATATATTTTAAAACTTATTATTTAAAAAGAAATTTACAATTTATGATAAAGTTTATAACTTGAACATGGAATAAAGTAGCAGAATTAAATTTCTTTATATATATAATAGAATTATATTTAAAATATATATAATGCATATTAAAACATTTAATAATAAGTCAAATAATATGTAAGATAATAAAAGAAACCAAACAGGCCAAAGGAATGTATAAACTAAAATTGAACAGTCTAAACAATAAATATTTAATAATCACAAAACTAATATATATGTGATGTAGACAATGTAAGTCACTTTCTGCTTTTGCTTTTTCTTATCGCATATATGCACTCAAACAATAGTGCCTATGTAGATTTAAACATAAAATTTTTATTAAAAACCCATTATCTTTGGCTACTTTGGGTATGTTTATTTAAATAATTATAATAATATATATTGTACAGAGCTTGAGTTAGAGTACAAGATGAATGCATAACGCATAATTTTGCTTTACATCATGTGTTGTCCATTTGGAGGAGCATATTGCGATTGTTGGTTTACAGACGGTCCTGTAGGCCCAGGTGGACCATAAGGCCCTGGTGCTGGGCCACTCTGAGATGGATATCTGCTATATAACATTAAATTTTCATTTCTTGTATACAAAAATTAAGAGAAAACGTTCTTTTTATAACGTTTAATATTATTAATAAAATCTAATTTATCTATGTGTGCCCTTGTAATCTATGTGTAAGAAATGTTACGATTTGACACTATTCTGTTTCTTATGGCTACATTTTATTATAATGAATTTTGTGCAATCAACATTGTGATAAAAGAAAAATAACTTATATTAATAAGCTTACCCTTGTTGTTGATAAGAAAGGCTAGTTTGATCGGGCGGTGGCAGAGATGGCCCCTGTGGATGTCCAGGAGGATGTTGATGAGGTCCCGATTGAACGTGAAAATGTTGTGGCAAAGCCATGCTTGGTATACTAGTAGGACCCATATACTCGTTGTTCGGCAAACTCGTGTTATACGGCCCCACCGGACCTGAACCGGCGGGGAATGGAGAAGGCGGCATACCGTTAAACATCTATTAAAAGATATATGTTATGTCAAGATATACATTGTATCATTGATATCGTTATTTTAAGTTATGAACTCACATGTGGTGGTGGTGGTCCCGGATTGTGGAATGAATAAGGATTTATATGTGGTTGCATTTTGGGCAAAGTATAACCAGACGGCGTTGGAGGCGCGGGTTCTCTCATCAAAGTATGATACAAATTAAGAGCGTCGACCAAATCAGAACTTAATTGAGTGAGCTGCGCATGCCGCCTATCTACCTTTTCCAAAGCTGCGTCGATCAGAGGCCCCATTGCAGTAACTTGTTCTGCAAAGTGCAATCAATAGAAATATAATAGAAAATATTTGTATCATTCTTTAATATGATGTTTTTATTAAGATTTATAGTTACCTTCTAAATCAAGCATTTCCTGAGGATCGGATGTATCACATTGCGGGTCAGCTTCGTGAAGCAAATGTAATAATCTATCCATTTTCTTTTCATCTATTTCAACTTCTACCACTTCTGGCTCGCGTTTTACCATTTTTACTTCTACTTCTTCCGCAAATTGCACTAACTTCTTATTACTATGTTCTAATTCTGCACATAAATATATTCATAGATTATTTTAATCACAGACAATAAATAAGTTAAACGTTTAATCTTAGAAAATACACTCGAAAATACACTAGAAAAAATTAAGTTGCACATATCTTACTAGTAAATTCTTCTGGTTCAACAGATAAATCAGCAGTAACAAAATTGGAAGGAAAGAGCCCTTCGCCTCTTTGATTGCTACCCTTCCACCAATTTGGATCTGAATCGTCCAAAATATTAACTAAAAAATTGAATTCATAGTTAACAGAAAGAAATTTCACCTGTTATTATGCATTGTAATTTTTAATACATACTTATTTCTCCTGCTAAAAATGTCAGTTCGTTATCTTCTGCAGCTTCAAAATCATACAAAGCGCGTACTTTTCTACCTTCTGAAGTACTTGTAGATGCAAGCACGGAATTCACACTTGGATATAAACTAGTACTCTTTTTAGAAGCTGGTGAGCTATGCGATGACGTGCTTTGAGTATGTGCTTTATTTTCTTGTAATGAAAGTTGTATTGCTATTTAACAGAAAATATCAACTATATAATAAATATCATATATATGTGTGCATATGTGTAATATATATATATATATATATATATATATATATATATATATAATCATCATAGGAATAAAGTTGAAACTTTTATTTTTTATTAGTTGTAAAGAAAGTAATATTAAATTATATATTACCTCTCGCAATATCTGCTTCTTCTTGTGAATTTGTTACTACATTAGGATCTCTGCTCAGAACACTAGTACGTTTTGGCTAAAAAAGATATTTTACACAAACAAGATAAAGTTTAGAAATATCAAAATAATAATAAATCATGTTTCTATAATCAAAATTTATTTAAAATGACTTATAAAATAACTACAAGATATGATACCAGAATTCAGAAGAAAAACATGCAGTATCAATAACTGATAGCTTATCTGACATTTAAATAATGCAGTTCTGTCTGCACTAGCAATTCAATACTTAACTTTGCACTAAATGATTTGATTACAGTAAATGATTTACATCTCTATAATCAATGAAATAAATGTAATAACATTATTGCAGCAGAGTAACTCACTGTATCTGAGACAGAAGAAAAGTCATGGCCTTCACTTTTGAGTTTATTATATAAACTTGGTATCAGATTCAGTTGTGGATCTGCTTTGAAGTCTCCTTCTACCCATTTCTTCAAAAGCGCTTTGATTTTCTCTACTATTTTTGGTTGAGGATGATTAATGAGTTTTCTCAAATCATTTTCAAAATCTCTGGACGCAATTTCCAAATGGAAAATCTTTCCACAATTACTGGCGCAAGCATCTAATAACTAAATAAAAAGTGAGTAATTAGAATTTTGACAGAAATTAAGTTTTTTGGAGAAAGGACAATATACTAACTGTTATAGCTTGCATGACGACATGTGGATCTTGACAGTATAATCTCTTAACAATGGAACGTAAACATTCCTTAGCATTCTGACTGGAGGTGCCTACTTTGTCACAGATATCCATTATCTTTCCCCATTCTTCCGTTACATTGTTCTCATTAGTTGCTTTTTCTGATGCCATACAAACAACAGTAAGCATAAAAAATGTCACAGATATTCAAAGATACATAATTAAAGAATAGCTTCGAGTCTTAACAAAATTATATTCACAACGCATACAAAGATAAAAAAATAATCGGAATATACATTACAATTAAAACAAACTATATAATAGCGGTACTATGATAGCTAATCGAAATGTCAAGTAACAAATTATCAAGCATTGACGAAATTATCTCATTTTGTGCATGAAACCCCGCGTAAAGAATGCGAAGCTCAAGTGCAAAATGCTAGCGAGTTAGCGTTAAAAATCCAACGACATAACTGAGGAGGTCAAATGTCAACAACCGCTTAATGCGTTTAATGCGGACGTTTGCAGAGGGCTTATTCTTTGTAGACTAGAAAGGACGGGCCCGATAATTTCAGACTCGCGATATGTAAACCGGAGCGAACGATCCGCTCTCGCGCGACATTCGTCGTGATTCATACCAGATGAAAAGCGAGCCGTCACAGCATTACTCACCGACGTCAGCGTCGAAAGGCGAGGAAGTCGGGAAGAGACCCATCCTTGCGGCTCCTTTCGATCCAATGACAAGATTACGCTCTTCGCACGCTCAGCACAATGTCACAGACTCGTGCTGCGCATTCAGCTGCTATTTACTCACAAACACGGCCGACCGACCGACTAAAAATATCCTTCTGTATCGCATCGGCGGACATCTTTGCTCTCGGATCTGCCAAAACCCTCGATACCTATCGAAAGTCGAGCGTCGAGAGCGATGACGTTGATTCGCGAATACGGCTTTGCTTTGCTTGAGAATATTTATATCTGTTAAAACTGCAACTGAGTTCGTTATATTTAGGAAGGCATGGCGCTTTATTTGAGAGTGACTGTAAATTTAATGGAGATTATTTGGTGTGTCTAACGTGTCAACAAAAATATGAATCGATATATCGAATGACGTAGCAACGCAATATAGCAACGAGATTCGATATGTCAGAATAAAGAAACCACTCATGAAACAGCCAATCGGATTTCTTTGCCCTTTACTTACTTGTCGAGAGGGCGCACTTTGAGCTTCCAGCTGGCTTTGGTGAAACTTTATGGTCTTGTTTTTCGTTCGACGTTGTTTCTTAATTACATGTCCTCGAATCTTATCTGCAAATATTATCATTGATACTGATATAAATAATCAATATCTAGAATCGATATACAAGGTATCTATAACTTACGAAATCTAAGTATTAACAAATATTTTAACGGATATAGAGAGAATCGAAGATTACTAAAATATGATTTTATGTACAAATTAGAAAAGACAATTATATATAATATAATATAATATAATAACAAAGTATAATAATAAAATAATAAGAACAAAGGAATTATTCTTTCTTATTTTCGAACTATTAAGAATTTTTATTTGCCTAATAATAATTTTTCCAATATTCGATATACTTCTGGTATCTTTAACATTAGGATTAATGTTTGCAATATGTTATGAATTATAAAGCTAAGAAAAGCTGAATTTTAAATATACAAATGTATTATGTGTTACAGCAAATTTTTCATCACATTAAAAACGAAAAATTCTGGATTTAGAAGTTCTGTATAATAAAAATCCTAATAATGAAAACAAAAATTATCATTATAGTAACTTCTGGTCTTTTTATGACAGAAGTAACTTGGCAATTATATCAATTATATAGACGTTCTCAAAGGAAAGCTATTAATATTTCTAATGGATATGGAAAACATCTATGCAAAGATACTGAGGATAGTGCAAAAATCTTTGAAGTCATGTTTTTTTCAAAAGATTCTTCTTTGTGTCGACCACATCTAGAACGCCAAGAATTTTGTAAAAAGGCAAATTGTGCAGTAAGACACTTCAGGTAACTTTTCCAATGTAAAGTAAAGTAAATAAAATTATTTGTAGTTTAATACAGGGTGACAAAATATACTTAACCACTATTATAGGAGGCTTATATATTATTTGGATTCTGCAACTAATACGTTGGACATATGTATGTATTTTCTTACAAGTTCAATCTTAGTAAAGACGATTATAAATGCTTACAAAAGAGGTGTTGTAGTTAGGATAGTATTGGATGAGTCTATGACACAGAATGATGGAAGCCAAATCATGAGTTTTCACAAAGAAGGTTTGTAACAAATATTAAAATCATAAATTTTGTTAGAAAAATATAACTATATACAAGATAATATTTCATCTAAAATTAAATAAGATAATCAAATAAATAATAATTTTTAAGTTAATATTGCTTTATTTGCAGGCATTAAGCCGAAATTTAAACAACTGGATGTCTTAATGCATCATAAATTTATCATTATTGATAATAATATTTTAATAACTGGCAGTACAAATTGGACTATGGCAGCATTTTTTGGAAATTTTGAAAATTTGATGGTGACAAATGAATCGAGGCTAGTAAAGCCATTTATAAATGAATTCGAAAAAATATGGGCGATGGTTAATGCTACAGTCAATGTTATGGAAACTGATTCTAAAACACATATTTTAACGTAACAATTGGTTTATTTATTTATTTCAAGATATTTATTTTTACATTTAAATTAAATTAAGAAAGCATATTTTTTTATTATTATATCTTAAAGAATAGTTTCTCATACATATAAATATACACAACACATGTATACACAACATATATGATATACACATATGATATACACATATATGATATACACAATACCGCACACACGTGTATGTGTGTGTGTGTATATATATATATATATATATATATATATATATATATATATAAATGTATGTATGAATGTATGTATGTATGTATGTATATATGTATGTATGTATGTATGATAATGTATATGCATATTACAAACACATATTTGCCTGTGATATATGACGCACAGTTCCAAAGCTATATAATTCTTATTAAGTTTATTTTATTAAGAAGATAATTTTATTATTTTAGTTTTTATAAGTGTAAAAGAAACTTGCAGTTTCTGCACGATTATTCTGATTGTTCAACATAATTTGAAATTTTTAATTTTAAAGGAAATGATATTTTTGGATTTTGCATTGGACTGTTTTTTTTTTTTTTTTTTTTTTTTTTTTTTTTTTTTTTTTTTTTTTTTTTTTTTTTTTTTTTTTTTTTTTTGATTGGACTGTTTACATGACTAAATAGCATAGATGGCATATTAGATATATATTTTTAACATATATATTTTTTTTAAATCTTCATTTCTGTATACAAATTCCCACGAAATGACTACAAACAAACGCTAGTAAGAACATTCTCTAGTCCGATTAATTTTTGTGTTTTGGTAAATTAAATTTGATGCAACTACACGGCGTGGGTGCACTAAGGGAGTTACCATGACGATTCTGACGTCATCATGATATTACGTGGTATTAGAGATAGTCTTTGTTTTCTCACAAACGAAGTTGCGTTCTGTAATGCATATTGATTTTATTTAACCAAGAACAGACAGTCATGGTCTCTTCAGAGTTCATGGCCACATCTAAACAATAGCCCGGAAGTAATCATGGGTATCTGATTACAGATACAATTTGATAGATGGTCAAAATACATAAAACATTGTTTTATATTGATACATACTGTTACATTAGCGTGATGAATAAAGAAAATAATAACGATTTGTAATCATTTTTATTAAAACAAATATAATTTCTATATTCTTTTATTTATTATCAAATATAAATAAAGTATACAACTTTTAATTATATATTACAAATTTTTTAATAGTAAGTTTTAATGTATATTTTAATTTTTGCTCTTTATTGATTTAATTATTTCTTCTGAATAATTGGAAAAATATGTATTGAGATGTGTTGATTAATATAAAATTAAAAAAAATGGAATTAAATTCTTCTTTCTGCTGATGATAACGAGAAAAATCAGAGCATGAAGAATCTTAAAGCTTGAGAATAAATAAATTTATTTAAAAGAAAATATTTTTTCTTATAAAAGATCTAATAATAAGAAAGGATACATATATTAAAGTAATTCATTTTGGAAAATTACATATTTAAGTTACTTAAAGAGTCATGAATTATTTAACGGTAGAAAATGTGCATATGTATTTCTTTTTTTTCTTTTTAGTCCATATTATCAATGAAATATTGTACACAATAGTATCTCATTAATAGTTATATAAGTAAATTTGTATAATCACATAAAATGCATGTGAAATGCATAAAATCAATTAATCCCGTATCAAACGTAGCATCAATATCGCATTTTTAAATCAGTCATTTGATTGGTCAATTTTTCTATGATGCATATGCATGATATGGGCTGTGTTCCAAAATTCACTGCCAGTACTGAAAATCTATAGTGTACGTCACGTAAATTATAGATTTTCAATATTGGCAGTGAATTTTGGAACGCAGCTATGATTATGCACATTCTTCTGAATATGCCCTTAGGATTACAATTCAGTAGCGCCCTCTTATTAATCGATAGTGGATCAGTGGCAATCGCGAAAAGTAAAACTGCGATTTCTCGTAATCTCTAGTGCGATAAAAGATATAAATCAGTATATAATTAGGAGACATTGAAAATATAAATGTGAACGCTCGTGTAAATGTGTAAATAGTGTGTCGTGATGTAATCGCGGCGAGATGAATCGCGCGCGCGCGATGCTATCCTAATTCATCTCGCGCGCGAGATGAATTGCGTTACGGAAATTCCCGCTCAAGTTGGAAATGTCCGATCACGCCTGAACGCGCTGTATTTGCGAGATCTTACAAGTCTTCTTCGAGGATGCTGCCAGGATCCAACAGTCTTCCAATATGATGACAAGGTAAGAAATTTATTTTTTTTTAGACAATATATGTGCACTTTGATGTTAAGTGCAAAATATTTGAAGATTAAGAGTAGCTATTCTGTGTATATCTATTTTAGAATTGTGAATTTATCTAAGGATTCTATCTCGCGCGAAGTATTTATTAAAATATTTCATAATACAGAAGAACGGTTTTAAACTGATTTCATAACGCGACCACAGAAAACGAAATTGTGTACGAATCGTGGAAACAGAGTTATATTGCCGGAGCGTAATGTGCTTCCGGAAATTCTCTCGAGTAGGGAAATCAAATTACCGTAACCGCGGCGTAATCGTTATGTTCGCACACTCATTGTTGATGTCTCGTTTCAGAAGTCTCGTAGAATCTAATATTAGTGTTTGCGCTTTGAGCGGAATTTGTTTGCGTATAAAGTGCCTCGAAATTGCCCTCGCGATTTATTCGGAGTCTTGTTTTTATTCACCTCCTCTTCTCTCTCCCCATAAACGATTTTAGCAGGTGAGTCGAACCATCAGAGATTTCGGGAAAGGTGTAAACGCGTATCGAAACTCCTGCCAGATGTCGTAAAAGCCGCGACTCATTACTTCTGAAAAGCTGTGATTTTCGTGTGAGCAGCTTACGATGTTTATAGTATGTTATACACGATGATTTCTTGCATTTGAGGTATATTTATGAAATTAATGTTATATCGAATATTTTATCTATAGAATATGCAATATAATTTGATTCATTTTAAATATTTTTACTATAGATAGAGAAATTTTTGTTGTTTATCAAAAGGATATAAAAAAATTAACTTAATAAACTATAAATGATTACCGTAAAATTCGTTTATTATATAAAAATCTGATGTATTACATTATGACAAGTAAAAATTAACATAAAACATAACTTTAGAAGTTAATTAAAGGCAGAAAATTGACCTTTTGTCTTCAATTATCATATCGTCTTGTACAATCTTCTACTGTTAATAATATTGGCGTGTTACGTGACAATACACGCAAGTGTTTAATATTACATGGATTTCTAAGCCAAACTTTATATATGCGTGTTTATGTGAAATTAATCCTTTGATACAAGGGTTGATCTTAAAGTACGTACAAGTATATATAAACACATATACGTGAACACGTGCGCGTGTGCAAGTTTAATTCTAACATATAGTCGGCCGTATTGATTACGTATTTTTAGATACACTGGCAGCAACCGTGTCGTCATCAAATATTAATCCCCAGTCGGAAATAGATCCACGCCCCCATCGGCTATATTTATTATTTCTAGAACGAACAGAAAAAGAAAGAAAGAAAGAGGAAATTATTAATTTTTTTTGGAGGGAGGGGGCGCATGAAAAAAGAAAATAACAGCAACTAATTTAAGGACAAAGATTATTCTCGTTCTGTCACTTATTATTATGGTAGAATTTATATAATATTCTTTTTTCTCAAAATCTATATTTCTAACTTATCTCAAACAAGAAAAAAGATAATACTTTGGAGTTATATACTTGTTCTATTAGAATTCTATTATTCATATAATCTTCCTATTAGATTATATTATATAAATTTTTCATAATTGATTTATAAAATAACGAAATTTTATTTTATAAAATTGCAAATATTATGAAATATTCATTTTTTACTATATATATGTATTTACTATATATATGTATATGTATTTAATTATCACTGAATATCATTTTTTTTAAATTAAATTCTTTGGTTAATTTAAAAATTTTTCTTTATTAAAATATTAGGAAATATTATTTATTTTGCATTTCTCTCTCTCTCTCTCTCTCTCTCTCTCTCTGTATCTCTAATTTTTTAAGTATTATATATGATTATAATTAAATCTAAAATTAAAACTTTTGTTTGAAACTAAAAGAATATAACATTACCTTTTTTTTTCGAAACTATTTCGTGAAAGAATTTTATTTTTAATTGTTATCCGCTTGAAAATTATAGCTTGATTTTTTAAATACATAATTTAGATTAAAAAATTTGTAATAAAAGATTAATTGGACATAATTTGTTATCTAATCTTAAAATATCTTAATCTGTAAATATAAAGTTGCATATACTTATAATCTACTCATATAGAGTCTTATAATTAATGTTACACTATAACATAAATAATTACTGTTATTAGAATGGTATAAAGAGGTTGAAGTTATATAAATGAGTACCGCAAATGGAAGCACATCTAATTCAAAATGTTATCGATCAACTTTCTTCACACACAAATGCAGCTTTTACGCTAAAGTTATCGACAAGCATGGAAATAGTGCCGATTATATTCTTAATTATTGGAAATTGTATATGTGTGTCTGTGCCGTCAATTCCGAGAATATCTCACGGAATGAGCATTCGTTCGGATTATTCTGGCACTTCGGATTTAAGATTGTTTCGAGAGATTAAGATTTACGATAAGGGTCGATCCGCCGTGCGTTTTTATTAGCGCCAGTTAATTACGACGCGAATTAAGAAAACCAGTTCTTCTCTCCTTTGCATTTGAGAGACAGGAGGTTTATTTGCGACATCTAATAAACGAGAGATGTCCCGCGCGCATCCTCGTCCTTATCATCGCTGCGTTTTTATAGGTTGCATCCGCTCCGGGAAAGGCGCTTGAACCCAATGACGGGGCGAACGACCTTTAGTCCTGTCTTTCTCTTTCGCGAACTCCTTTCCCCTCTCTTGTATACACGTGAAAGCGGGGAGCATTTTCTTTGACGTCAGAGGGCAATCATGCAACATCGTAAAGCG